TGACGACACAGCTTAATGCTCATTGGTTTAAACAACCGTGATGTATTGTTCTCTTTTAAAATGTTTGATTTTAAAACTCTGATATCATGTTTTATGTGTATAAAGTATGTGTGGATATCCCCAAACTCTCTGACAGTGCGATCTATGTGATGTAATTTTTTTTTTAAAATTAAAAATAAAAACACATATCTGTAAAGAAAAAAAATGATTCATAAACATATAGGCCTATTTAAAATGGAATTAAATAAGTACTTTGAGTGTCTTGTTCATTATATTTATTTTCATATTCAAGCAACAAAACTTAAAATACATCCAGTTTATTAGCAACACCGTGCACGAGTGTGAATCCCGCGATATCCGCCTTTGATCTCACAGGTGTCAGATCCACTGCGAGAAGAGCGATCTGTCCGGCTTGCCTGCGCTTTTTTCACTCCTCCTCTCACTGCAGCCGCCTACTCTCGACTACATTTCAGGCGAGGCAAGGCGCATCTCAAACAAGCCTATTATCTCTTACCTCCGCGGAAAGAAAATATCGCTCTCGCTCTATCCATATCGAACGCGATTGGTTGTTCGGTGCTAACGTCACTTTGGTATGTGCACGCGCTCGTGGAGTAATCATAGCTTAAAGGGATACTCCACTTTTTTGGGAAATAGGCTCATTTTACAACTCCCCCAGAGTTAAACTGTTGAGTTTTACCGTTTTTGAATCCATTCAGCCGATCTCCGGTTCTGGCGGTACCACTTTTAGCATAGCTTAGCATACATCATTGAAGTGTACAAGACCATTAGCATTTCTAAAAAAAAAAATGACCAAAGAGTTTCGATATTTTTCCTATTGAAAACTCGACTCTTCTGTAGTTACATCGTGGACTAAGACCGACGGAAAATGTAAAGTTGCGATTTTCTAGGCTGATATGGCTAGGAACTATACTCTCATTCCTGCGTAATAATCAAGAAACTTCACTGCCGTACCATGAGTGCAGCAGGCGTAATGATATGACGCAGCGCCTGAAAATAGGAGATAGGTCCGACTGCAGAACCCCAGAACCATACGTCATAGCAGTGTGAGGACGACAGCGCCAGCCTAACCATAGACATAATAAATACATAGACGCCCTATTGTCCGCTTTGGAACGTTGCTGCGATACGTCAACGGGTCCGCCATTTTGCTGAGGGCAAGACTGCACTGTAATCAAATGTAAGTAAACGGGGGAGCTGCGTTTTTTCTGGATAAAAACAAACTGTTTTTACATTTATCAACCGATTTCAGTGGTTTGTATGTGGTGTACAAAAAGTTCCATCTCTAGTTATTTAAAATCTCGATAGTTAGACTTGTAAAATATTTTTTTTAATAAAGAATGGTCAAAGCTCAGGCTTGTCATGTATCTGGCTTTTTATTCTTGGATAAGAATGGTGAAGACCCCCATACTGAGATATAATTTAAGTTTTCTTATTGTGGAAAAAGCATTTTCTGTGATTGACCAGATTTTAGCAACATTTTAACTGATGGATCCTTTATAATAATAGGTTATGGTACAACTACAGTGCAATGCAAATAGTATATAACATAAAGTGAGAAGTAATAGTAAATAGTTTAGTCAATAAAATAAACAAATAGTATACAGCAAATAAAATAGTAATGATTAGTATAATATCATAAGTCATTATAATTATATAATATCATTATAATTATATAATATCATAAGTACAATAATACAATCATAAAAATATTGATAATAGCATAGTTTATTAATAATACTATAATAGCAATAGAATAAGAAATATCCATTACAGAATATACACAATAAAAAATAAGTTAAATAGTGACTTTAATATTTAACTCTTTTTGTTAAATTTCAGTTTTATTGATCAGTAATAGCCATTATAACAGAAGTAGCTTCAGTCAAACATACAGCAGGATACAATGTTAAAATAGCCTAAATATAAAGTTATGAAACTTCACTTTGCCCTCAGCCAAAACGATTTCAATTCAATCAAATGTTCAAGCTTTGTTTTAATTTTATTATTATTTTTGTTTAAAGCTTTATTCAATTTATATTGTTAATCATTTGACACAACAAATGGATAAAGTATAATTTTAACTTTTAAAAAACAATTTTGTTAATACTCAACCATTTCACAACTAACAATTTTTTTTCATAGACCAAACAACATAATTCTATGGTGGACTGAAACAAAAATGATTAATTAAATACAATTATTGTTTTCCTCTGAAATGGCAAAAGCATCACACACAGATGTACCTGCTCTAAATAGCTAAATAATAGTAATTAAATGAAAATAAAAAATCGAACTAAATAAAATAAATTATAAAAAACAAAATCAAACCAAAGAAAATAAAAGCGAGTGTCATGACGAAAGGCGCCTCATGAAATCATCAGGATTAACTCCATGTGTATGGAGTTTTGATCTATTTAGTTTATTTGTCACTTGAAAATTATTGTTAAATGTGTGCCTGCATAACTTTAATAAGATTTATTTTCTTTGGTTTGATTTTGTTTTATATAATTTATTTATTTTATTTATTTTGATTTAATTACTATTATTTATTTGGAGCAGGTACAGCTAGTGTGTGATGCTTTTGCTATTTCAGAGGGGGGGAAAAACACATTTTATTTAAAAAATGCTTTTCAATTAAATCAAATGTTCAAATGCTCAAGCTTTGTTTTCGTTTTATTATTTTGTTTGTTTTAAGCTTTGTTCAATTTATATTGTTAATCATTTGACACAAAACAGATGCATAAAGTATCATTTTAACTTAAAAAACACTATTAACATTTGTTAATAGGCTACATTGCCTGTCTTTTGTTAATAGGACAAAACATAGTTATTATACTTTATAATTTTATAAATATCATATTTTATAATATTTGATATATATATATATATATATATATATATATATAGGCCTATCTCTTAAATATATATTTTGAATGAAATCGTTAAAAAATATATTCATAATAGCATTGTTTTAAACTTTCTAAAACACAGAAGTAGCGCAATGCCTGGCCACGCCCACTTCCGGCATCAGACTGTCAGGCTGGCGCTGTCGTCCTCACACTGCTATGACGTATGGTTCTGCGGTTCTGCAGTCGGTTACTATTGGGGAAAATAGGCCACCTTCCGTCAACACAACGGAACTATTTTCAGGCGCTGCGTCATATCATTACGCCTGCTGCACTCATGGTACGGCAGTGAAGTTTCTTGATTATTACGCAGGAATGAGAGTATAGTTCCTAGCCATATCAGCCTAGAAAATCGCAACTTTACATTTTCCGTCGGTCTTAGTGCACGATGTAACTACAGAAGAGTCGAGTTTTAAATAGGAAAAATATCGAAACTCTTTGGTCATTTTTTTTTTGAGAAATGCTAATGGTCTTGTCCACTTCAATGATGTATGCTAAGCTATGCTAAAAGTGGTACCGCCAGAACCGGAGATCGGCTGAATGGATTCAAAAACGGTAAAACTCAACAGTTTAACTCTGGGGGAGTTGTAAAATGAGCCTATTTCCCAAAAAAGTGGAGTATCCCTTTAAGATCAAAGCCTGAGTTGACAGAGAAAGTTGATGAGCTGCGTCATGGTACCAATAAAGCCTGATTGCATCGGTTTGGTTTTGTCAACTCAAAACTAATCCTGTAACTCCGAGTTTGTTCAGCTACCTTCATGGTATAGGCCCCTGATCGGAACGTGCGCACTGTTGACGTTGACAGCAGCGCGGATTGATAGAAATGGATAGAAAATAGTGCCGATTAAAACTGAGGTATGAATTTTGACCGGCGTGTTTTTTGTGTGGTAAATTAATCAAGCTTTGAAACGCAAATCATTTTTTCACGTAAAAACGCACAGTTTTGTGGCACCGGAAAATAACCGGGAGTACTTTATTGAAAAACTTCCAGCGGCCAGAACTCTGACCAGGGAGGGGACAACAGAGTGGGTCAGTGTGTGTGCACTAATAGTGCTGGTAAGGATTGCATACAACTTCATGTCTTAAATGGGCGAACTAACCCTTTAACTCTAATGATCATGTTGCAATTAAAGTTAGTCATATTTCAGTGAGTTAATCATCCGAGCCTCAGGACCTTTTCCCGGCATGTCGGATCCTGCGGAACAGCGAATGCTTTCGGATTTATGAACTTTGATGCTGCGCCAGTGTTTGATTCATGTTTATGGTTCGTGTGGAATTATGGCTGACAATGAATTCATGCCAACGTTTTATGTTTTTGTCTTGATGACACAAACTAGTGTATTTTCACCACAGCAAACATGGAACATTATATGTTATAAACAAACGTTCTTCCAGTAACGTTAATAAAACGTTAATTTATCTGCACTTTAATAACGTTAGTGCTATTAATTAGTGCTATTTGTGCTAATGCTCAAAAACATTAGCACAAAAACATTATTTATACATCACACATGTACGGAAGCGTATTGCATTCACTTGAAGAAAAAATCTACTCTGTTTTTCTGAATTAATGACTTGATTATCTCAAAAACTCAGAAATTCAGAAAAACAGAGCAACAACTTTTTTCCATGAAAAATTATCTTGTAATTCTGAGATAATTAACTCATTAATTCAGAAAAAAAGAGTAGATTCTTTTTCTTCAAGTGAATGCAATACGCTTCCGTACACATGGAATGTTTTTCTGAAACTTTTAAGTTGGATGTTTACAAATGTTACTTGTTTCAGAGAACATTCAAAAGTTACGTTCTCATAAAGTTTGAAGAATGATACACTGGAAATGAAGTTTTCATAACTCCAGGAGTTCTCCGACTGGTTCTGGCTCACCGTGGGTCTTTGCTGTCCTCTTGTGGCTGCTGTGTGTCATTACAGGCTTCGGATTCTGTTCTCATTCGTGCTAGAGATCACAGTTTTCGAGTTTGTTCAAATCACTAAGTCTTAAACTGTGTGCGGCTCTAAACTTGTGTGTGATGAAATGATTCTGTCATCTCTTCTGTGTGTGTGTGTGTGCTCAGTGTCGAGTGATCAGGGCTGTGAGCTGAACTGTCGGGCCGTCGGCTTCAGGTTCTACGTCCGTCAGTCGGGGCGAGTCGTCGACGGGACGCCCTGTGGACACGACGGGACATCGGTGTGTGTGGCGGGAAAGTGTCAGGTATTTCAGTTCAGTTTATTTCTAAAGCCCAGGATACACCAGGCCGGTTTTGTGCGTCGGCGACTCAGTTTTCTCAGTGTGTTCCGCACCGTCGGCTGAAATTGGTCCTCGTGGGGTTTTTTTCGGCTGATTCGACATGTTGAATGGCCGTCGGTGAGAGAGAGAACTCTGATTGGCTGTTCAGCTTATGCCTAGTTCACACTACACGACTGTGACGCTGTGCTGTTTACACTACACGACTGGCTCTGGAGTCTTGAAGTCGTTGTGGTGTTCACGTCAATGATCTGCGACAGGGTCACACACACACTACAGCTCCGTCACCCAGCGACTCGATCCCGTCCCCAAACCATGTGTTGTCACGAAAACACATGCAAGAAGTGGAATGGGAAATGACGTGAAAAGGGAGTTTTCTATTTGAAAATGGACGGCGGGACAAAATTGGCGGTAAAAAAAAAAGAAAGAAAAAAAAGAGTAAGATTGTGGTTGTGGTTTGGCAACGATGGTTTAAAGTCTTCTTTAAAGTCGCCCTGTGGTGAAAATCCAGCTTTTAATGTTGTTTATGTGTCTATGTGGTGTGTTTAATACGCTTTAAGACACACCATGTGTAAGTTCATAAGTCGACAGCATTGCTGAGTATTTCCTCCTTAAAACTGCAGTGAACCAAAGACAGTCTCAAAAACACGGTTTGAAATCGCTGGTGTTTCTGACGTCACAAACGACCTTGTAACCAATCAGATCAACGTGTGATCGTCAACCAGTGGATCTCTGAGCTGAGTGAGTGGAGGCGGGGCTCATCTGCATATTCATAGAACCACGCATACTAAATGAGGCGAGGGTGTCGAGTTACATTCAAGATATTTTAAGGCAAGGAAAAAAAACTTTAAACATGTAATTTCGGTGATTAAAAAATGAGTTTTAAGGGATTAATAATTGACTACAGGGGGACTTTAAGAATAAGCTTCATACTGTTCAATGACGGTACTTTTCTTGTTTGATTTCGACGTTTAATATGATGAGTTTGATCCTAATTGAGTCTAACAGCATGTTAAAGGTGTTTTAGTCACATGTTGACAGCAGTCGATCAGAAGCTCTTCTCTTGCAGATGTGTGCTCTGTCCGATCTCTGTTATTCAGACATGCATTAATTACCCAGAGTTCAGAGCGTCCTGCATGTAAAGACGGTCAGACGCACAGCTTTTGTGTCTGTGAGTGGATTATCCACGCTCGACTCCAGCTGTGCTTCTCTCAGACATGTCACTTCAACAAACCCTGCAGAAACGAGATGTAACACACGCCGGGAGACGAGCGGCCGTCTGTGGAGGTTACAGGGGCGCTCCATTATCATTTCACTTTTCTAGCTTTAGTTAAATGTGTTATGCTCAAACAGCAACATTACACACTAAGTATGAGTAATATTCATGCACTACATGTACTTACTAAAGGGTTATGGTTAGGTTAGGGTTAGTTGCATTATGTAATTATGCATCATTTACTGTGCATGTAACCTGCAAACAAAAGCAGCTTCTAATAAAACAAACACTATCATAGCATACTTTACTAACGGAATATCACATGAATATTTGCCTCAGTAATGAGGATGAGATTACAGTGTAGCGGTAACACTTTACAGTAAGGCTCATTAGTTAACATGAACTTAGAATGAACAATACTTCAGCATTTATTAATCTTAGTTAATATTAATTCCGACATTTACTACCTTATTAAAATCAAAGGTTGTATTTGTTAACATTAGCGAATGTAATGTGACTTATAGATTATCATGACAGAATATGCTAATCAATGACTAGAAGAGAGTTAACTCCACATCAGAAACATAAACTCATCAACTAACTGTTCATAACTATATGAAGTCCTGTTGCTCTACATGTTCTCCTTGAGTCTCTCCATCTTTGTACGACTCCGGGGTTGAACATAAAATTTTGTGAAACTGAAAACTGAAATTTTCAGTGCGTTTGTGAGGTAATCTGAGCTGCTAACACACACACACACACACACACACACACACGTACACACATACACACACACACACACACACACACACACACACTCTCTCACTCACTCTCTCACACACACACACACACACACACACACACACACACACACACACACACACACATACACACACACACTCTCACACACTCTCTCACTTACTCTCTCACACACACACACACACACACACACACACACACACACACACACTCACACACACACACACTCACACACACACACACACACTCACACTCTCACACACTCTCTCACTTACTCTCTCACACACACACACACACACACACACACACTCACAAGCTCTTGAAGCTCCGCCCCCCTGTGCCGGAAGCAACAGCTCATTTGCATTTAAAGGGACACACACACAAAAAGTCGTGTTTTTGCTCACCCTCAAAAAAGTGACGATTTTAACATGCTGTAAAAATATCAGTTTTGAGCTGAAACTTCACACACACACTCTGGGGACATCAGAGACTTATTTTGCATCTTGTGAAAGGGCATTATAGGAGCGCTTTAATGTCGGCGCGGAGGTTTGACTCGTTCCTGTGGGCTGTTTTGCGGATGGTTTGAATTCCTCTGAAAGCTCAGAGATCAGCCAGACAAATCCACAGCTTTAAGATCTGTGACGGGAAACTGAAGATCTCACACATCGGATCCACCCGATCAGCCAGCGATATTTAGAGATGTTGGCAGGAATGTTGTTAGGAAACAGTCGGATCATTCCCGTAATCCAAAACATGAGCATCTGAAACTCTGCAAATATGATCATCAGTTTCTGTATTAATATAACAGAAACTGAAACACTTTATGAAATGTTGTCCTAGTCAGAGATGTTTCCGTGTGGTTTCCTTACAATGAGATATTTAGGTAACGCTTTTTATAGGTATTCATAATGTGCATTATAATCAGTGCTGGGCAACGATTAATCTAATCCAAAATAAAAGTTTGCGTTTACATAATATATGTGTGTGTACTGTGTATAATTATTTTGTATATATAAATACACACACACACATGCATGTATACATTTAAGATTTTTTTTTTTTTATATATATGTAAAATATTTATATATAATATAATATAAATTATGTATAAATATATATATATATATATATATAGTATGTAAATGCAAATATTTCTTAAATAAATACATGCATGTGTGTGTGTATTTATATATACAAAATAATTATACACCGCACACATATATTATGTAAACACAAACTTTTATTTTGGATGCATGCATTATGTTTTCATAAATAATTGTATTAAAATGTAAAATGCATTACAATATTTGCAGATTCCTTGTTACGCCTGAAACGGGTTGTTTGTCGTGTGTTTTAATGCATTGTACTTTCTAAAGGCGTAACATACAGTAAGTATTGTAATGTATTATAACTGGTTATAATAATACATTATTATATTAAAAGTTGCATCTGTTCATAATTTTAATGGACCTGAGCTGACATGAACTAACAGTGAACAGTTGTGTTTTATTAACTGACGATGATTTAATACTGTCACGATGTATTGCACATTGTTAGTTAATGCATGAACAAATGGGACCTTATTGTAAAGTGTTAAAATAATTTTGTTTGTATTTTTGAGTTTGCAGTTTTTTGTTCCCGCTGCTAAAACTTAATTTGAGAGACACACAGAGACAGACAAACGTTTGTTTAGGATGCACTGCTTGTCCTGAGACGGTTAGACGTGTTGGTAAATGCTGAAGCAGGGAAACTCCAGCTGTAGAGCTTCACTTTCACACACTGAGGAGAAGAAAGAGCCTTTATGAAGGAAATCCCACTGAGTAACTGAGCTGCGGCTGAACGCCAGAGGAGTGTGTGTGTGTGTGTGTGTGTGAGTGAGTGAGAGAGAAAGTGTTTGTGTGTGTGAGTGAGAGAGAGAGAGAGAGAGAGAGAGAGAGAGAGAGAGAGAGAGAGAGAGAGAGAGAGAGAGAGAGAGAGAGAGAGAGAGAGAGAGAGAGAGAGAGAGAGAGAGAGAGAGTGTGTGAGAGAGAGAGAGAGAGAGAGAAAGAAAGTGTGTGTGAGTGAGTGAGAGAGAAAGTGTTTGTGTGTGTGAGTGAGAGAGAGAGAGAGAGAGAGAGAAAGTGTGTGTGTGTGTGTGTGTGTGTGTGAGAGAGAGAGAGAGAGAGAGAGAGAGAGAGAGAGAGAGAGAAAGAAAGTGTGTGTGTGTGTGTGTGTGAGTGAGAGAGAGAGAGAGAGAGAGAGAGAGAGAGAGAGAGAGAGAGAGAAAGAGAAAGTGTGTGTGTGTGTGTGAGGGGTGTTGTGTGGGGTTACCAGTTTGTTTCTAGGGTGTTGTGGGTGGTTGCAGGGTGTTTCTAGGGTGTTGTGGGTGGTTGCCTAGGTGTTTCCAGGTGTTGTGGGTGGTTGCCAGGGTGTTTCCAGGTGTTGTGGGTGGTTGCCAGGGTGTTTCTAGGGTGTTGTGGGTGGTTGCCTAGGTGTTTCCAGGTGTTGTGGGTGGTTGCCTAGGTGTTTCCAGGTGTTGTGGATGGTTGCCAGGGTGTTTCTAGTGTGTTGTGGGTGGTTGCCTAGGTGTTTTCAGGTGTTGTGGGTGGTTGCCAGGGTGTTTCTAGAGTGTTGTGGATGGTTGCCAGGGTGTTTTGTAGTGTGTTGTGGGTGGTTGCCTAGGTGTTTTCAGGTGTTGTGGGTGGTTGCCAGGGTGTTTCTAGAGTGTTGTGGGTGGTTGTCTAGGTGTTTCCAGGTGTTGTGGGTGGTTACCAGGGTGTTTCTAGTGTTGTGGGTGGTTGCCAGGGTGTTTCTAGTGTGTTGTGGGTGGTTGCCATTGTGTTTCTAGGGTGTTGTGGGTGGTTGCCTAGGTGTTTCCAGGTATTGTGGGTGGTTGCCAGGGTGTTTCTAGGGTGTTGTGGGTGGTTGCCTAGGTGTTTCCAGGTGTTGTGGGTGGTTGCCTTGGTGTTTCCAGGTGTTGTGGATGGTTGCCAGGGTGTTTCTAGTGTGTTGT